GCCAGGCAGCCCAGGTGGACCCTTCAGCCCTGGCAAACCTGGGATTCCGATGCCTTTCTCCCCTTTGGGCCCTGGGATCCCGGGAACTCCTGGGGGACCCTTCATCCCAGGCTCACCCTTTGGCCCCGGCTGTCCCTGCAGCCCTGGAGCACCTGCTTTTCCTATGCCGGGAAGCCCGTGAGGCCCCGGTGGTCCTTGCGGCCCAGGTATCCCCATGGGCCCAATCTCTCCCTTTGGCCCCATCTCCCCTCTCGGCCCTGGGGGCCCCATGACCCCTGGTTTCCCCGGCATCCCTGGCAAACCCGGCTTCCCAATTCCTGGATATCCTTGTGGGCCCGGTTTTCCTTTGGCTCCTGGCACACCGTGACCCGGTAATCCTGGTGGCCCCGGTGGCCCTCTTGGTCCAGGCTCACCAGGGGGACCTTGCTCACCCCGAAGACTGCGCACAGGCATTTCTGGGTTGGGAAGAAACGAAAAAGAAAAGGGGAGGGGGAGAGACAAAAGGTGATTGCAACCGCATCCTTCGAGAAATACAAAGTTTTGAATTGAACGTGCTTATTATGATGCCTCTTGGTTTTGTGTTAGGTGGGGAGGCAGAGCTGGGCAGCGAGGTACAGGTTGGTGTTTGGAACGAAGAGGATGTTCCTACTGTTTTGCATATCCTGAGCTTGCGTGCATGTTTCTGTTACCATAAAATAATTATTTTGCATCGTATTTGCTTGGGTTTTGCTACGCGCTTTACTAGTGTTTTCCACCTATACAATCTTAAGCAGCAAAATCTGCTTTTTGTCCCAGGTTGCTGTAGACTAATTACTTTTAAGAGTTTTTGCAGGACACAGAAGCTGCTCGGTGGTCTCGTGCTGTAGGAGCAGTTCTGGCATAAAAGTGCTTTTCCTGGAGGGGCTTACTATCTTTTTTAATTGATCTTGCTCATGTATCAGTAAGAAGTTTGTACGTAGGTATGACTGCATTTTCACCAAGGCTTTGGTTCCTATTAAGATATTGCTGGAAACCTACAGTCTTATCCAGTATTGCTAAGCTCCCACAGGTTTTTGGCACAGCCATGTCTAGTTAGAGTTCTTCCAAACATTTCACAAAATGTTTTTGTTGTCCAAACCCACATTTTTGTGTATGTGACCGCTTAGCATTGCAGGTCAGGGTGAGGGAGTTGCCGCGTGGGAGTTGGGTGCTTTTCAGGCTGCAGGCTTTTTGTTACGTGGAAAGTCTGCTTCTCACCCGCTCTAAAATATATAAAGAAGTGAGAGGTTTGGGGGAAGGCAAGAGATGAGGTTTCAGGGCAAGAGAATTAACTGTTCTTTGGGAGGCAGAAACCCTCCTTCTCTCCCTGTGTTTTGTGCACGTAGAAAACCTCCCTTGCTCACAAGATGGGTTGGTTTTACTAACAGCCAGTTGTGCTCGTTCAGACACTCCAAAAATAGGCCTTGCAATCTTCCATTTCCCTCTGAAGCCAGTGGAGGGTGTGGTTACGCTGAACCCTCAATAAGACAAAAGAGTTAACTAGCTTGTCGGAAGTTGCACAGATGGCTTGCTGTCCCCACAAGGATTTTATGATCCTGGTTGCCCTTTGTATTTTGGACATTTTTTGTTGTTTTCTTAAATATCCTAATGTTATACAAACTTCCTTTACAGAATACTGAAAGTGCTTGTACTGCAGACTCGTGCAGTAATGCCCTGTACCTTCAATGCCTCCGTTACACCCATAAATAACCCACAGAAAGAGAACTGCAGAGTCAGAAGAGTAATTGTATGTTTTTGTCTGCAAACCTCTAAATCACAGGGTCTGGACAAATCTAGACAAAACTGTGATATTCCTGTAAATTCAAATCTTGGGGCTTTTAGCTCTTATTTCATGTCTGGTCGCTGCAGTGAGAGTGGGAGCAGCTGCAGGCATGCGCCCCCAGCCTGTCTACCCGGTCCATCATTGAAACTCCATCAGAGGGCTTTCTGCAGGCAGGTGTGATTACGAGGTTTCTCCTAGCCTCGAACAAGCACCCAAACAAACCTAGGGCCAGCCCTGGGTGCTGGAGGCTTGTCACACGTAGGGCTGCTCAGAGGCTGTGCTGCAGCCCAGGGGATAATTGTGGCCTTCCTCTGCTGATCCCGAGCTGCCCCACAGCTCACGTCAGCCCCTTTTGTCCACCCGTAGCCAGGTACTGACCAGGTACCAACCTGGCCAGTCCTTGGGGCCCCTGGGTGCCATGCCCAGCCTGCAGCAGCCTGCTCCTCATCTTCAGTTCCTCCCCAGGCAGACAGTGCTGTGGGGCAGCACACGGGACTGTGCAGGGGTGGCAAGGGACGTGCTGAGCCTACCTTTCTCTTTTTTGGGAGCCATGTCCTTGCCGAGCAGTGGCATCTGCGGGACCTCCTTCATGTACTGAGGCAGATGGGGGGACTCTTCCCGTACTGCATGTGGGGCACCTCCTTGCCCATGTGCTGCATCGGGATGCCTTCTTTGCCCAGCGGCATGTGAGGTACTTGTTGTCCAAGGGGTTGGTACTGAGGCACCTGGGGTGGCAGCTGCTTGATCCCATAGTAGACACCGCCTTGAGCAGACCTCACCAGCTCTAGGTAAATGGTGACAGCCACTGCCAGCAGCTGCACAGGGAAGAGCAGCATGGCCATCACCTGTGAAAAACACAACGAAACCCCAGGGTTGGCAGAAAATGTTTTTCTCGTGTCTTGCGTTTCCCATTAGGGCTGACCTGCTCTCATTTCCTACAGCAAACTGAACCTAAACCTCTGCAAACTGGCTCTGGTTTGTGTGTTGCCCTGGAGAACATCCTGTAGCAGCCCTATAGGCAGTTTATTGGAAGCTCTTACTCAAATAGTATTATTATAGCAAATGTCCTTATATGCGTTTAGTTTTATGCTACTCCACACACCCTGGGCAGTGCCCTCTGTGGTTTCTCCGTATGGGCACCTGCTGCCTCCCATCCCAAAGCTGCAATTTGCTGCATTCTCACTTGTGTCAGTGCCATGACAAGGTTTGGGGAGCTCTGCTGCAAGCTCCAGCTCGGGGAGAGAACAAGAAGGGGCACGGGGGGATCTCTTAAATGCTTTCTGCCCAAGGAAGCTAAATTATCGACGCCCCTCCTGCTATGCTTTCCATAGCAATGAAAGCTCAGTTTCTGCAGCTTAAATCTGTCCCTAGGATTGTGCCCTGTGGCTGCAGAGTCCAGGGGCTCTCCACTCCTATCACAGCTGCTTGACAGCTCTCCTCCGGAGCTGGCTTCCGATCCTCTCAGCCTTCACTCAGAAGACCTGGGCTACCTGGTGGTTGTGTGGGCCATCACTGCATCCAGGCAGGATTAGCCAACCCAAGCCTTTCTCCAGGGATGTGCAACTATCTTCTAAAGGTCGTCCCCCGCTGCAGATGCTGTCCCCTCCCCAGGCAGCCCATCCCAGTGCCTCACCAGCCCTGCTAACACAATGGAACATGGTTGTTTTTTCTTTCTCTTTCTTCCTTAACAAAATATAAGCTTGGGACTTCTTGTCCCATCTGCTCTTGGTTTTCCTTTCTGCAGTAAGAGCATTACTAGCGGGTGAGCAGCAAATGAGGAACCGGGAACTCCCTAAATGAGTGCAAATTTGGGGGCAGCCTGAGGTAGCAAGGAGACTCTCCATGTGTTTGAGTATTTTGCAGTTTGTCCCGCAGCCAAGCCCGGCAGGCACGTCCTGCTCTTTTCAGTTGCACATGGCAATTGCCAGGCCTGACGGCTGTCCCCCCACCCATCCCTGCTTTTCCACCATGCAAAGACGCCTTGCACCCAACCTGGGCACTTGGAAAAGCCCTCACCACTCAGGCACACCAGCAGACCTTTGCCAAACCGCTGGTTGGGACTCGCTGCCAGCAGCTGCTGGGCCCGGCTGAGCCCAGGTGTGACAAGGGTGGCCCGAGGAGGCAGCAAGGGCTTTGTGCCGCCTGCTTATTTTCCTGTCCTTTCCCCACAGCCTGGCTCAACATAGAGGACAAAAAAGCCCCTCAGTCTGTGGCAAAGGGGCTCAGCCTGGTGCCTCCTTATGCCTTGGGAGGTATTTTTTGTGGGGAGATGCTTTCCTCCTTTTCCTCCTGTGGCTGCTCCCCGCCCGAGTCCAGCTGCTGGCGGGGCTGCAGCCCTGGCTCCCCTGCGCAGGATGATTCTGCAGCATGAGGGAGGACTCCCCACGCTTGGGGGACTGCGCAACCCAGTGTGGGCTGGGTCACATTCTCGCAGGGGCCCCACAGAGACCTGGCTTGGGGCAGGTGAGGCCACTGCCAAGAGCGGGGGGAAAGTGAGAGGTACGTGGGGTTGGAGGGAGAAAATGTATTTATGGAGGAGGGGGCAGCAAGCGGCTCCACTTGCCTCCTCTAACGTTGCGTAGTGTACAGCAGGTCCCCCAAATGGGCCTCAGAGTAATTTGGGTGGGTGGGACTTTGCAACATGTCCGTGAGGGACTTGTGCCTGGTGGGCAGAAGGTGTGAGCGGGCTGCAGGATGGCTGCGAAACTCGCCGAGCTCAGGGAGCAGGTCAGTGCCACCACAGGCGTCGAGCCCTGCAGTCATGAGTCGTGTTTTCCCCGCTCGCCACTGTACGTCTCGGCTCGAGCACCGGGTGGGCTGGCATGGGCTGTCCCACAGAAGCTGCTTCTCGCGCTGCTCTGTGCTGTGGTGAAGGTTATTGACCAGGCGGTAACATTGGGTGTCATTTAGTTTTTATGTTTTACTCCTGCTCAAAGTTCTCCGTTCACTTTGCGTTAGCAAAGCACCTGGGGAAATGCTTGCTGCTCTTTTAAAACATTTCTCCTTTATTTTGGTCTATGAGATCTAATCTCTCAATGGAGATCAGTGTATCATCATTACTGAAGGCGTAAGTGGCGGCTAAGTCAAAACTGTGTAGTTACAAGAACCAGCAGAAGGTTAATAGTTTCAATTATGATCCTAAATAGACAAACGAACTACAGAAAAGATGGAACTATGTGTTAACAGCAAAACAAATCATTTAAGAAAATGAAATATTAGTAAAGAAACACTAGATGGAGCATATGTTGCACAGCTGAGTTTCTGCAGTCACTTTCTATCCCAGGAATTTAAGGTCTTGGATGTAAGAAGCTGCCATGTGGCAAAGAAAACCAGAGCCAAAATGTACAGGAGTTTCTAAGTGTAGCTAAAGCCCAAGCACAGTCGCTCATCCTTGTTCAGCAAAGTGTTTCAGCAAACGCTTCATCTCCAGTGAGTTTAACGTGGCTTTTAGCCCATGGCTGCCTGCTTTGCTGTGCGCTAAAGGATTAGGGCCTTGGGACGTGGTATTTCTGCTTGAAGCTCAATGGCACATGGTAACTGTGAGGACAGTGATCAGTTACCATGCCTCAGCTGCAACGTGGTAAATTATTAACCTGCTGTAGCTTCATCTGGGCACATGGACCCCGAGAGCATCCTTTTTTTGGGGGGAGTATCCCCACTCTTGTCTCTGTTGGCCTTTCTGGTTCTTTCTGTACCATAACGAGTAAGCGGCTCCAGCTTTGCCTCTCTGTAGCTGAGTAGGGTAACACCTGCCTCAGTTTGCAGGGAAAATCTCAGCTACTAGAAAATTTGCTGCATTCTGTGCATCTCTCCCAAATGAAAAACATTGTCTGTATGAAGACAGAAATGCAGTGAAACCTTTTAAAAAAAAAATAGAAGATATTGGATGATTTAGGATTGTTGTTGAAACCTACAAGTATGAAGGGCAGGGTGGATTTTGAAGAATGTGGTTATTAAATTAGCTTCTTGGCTACTTTGTTGTTCTGGTGGCCAGTTTTTTGTTTTGTTTTGTTTTTTAAAAGATAACTTCAGTGGAATAAGTGGAGAGGGAAATAGGTAAAATTCCTTTGGATGTGATTTTTCTCCTTGTTTTTATTACAAGACACGGGCTTTGTGTGTGAGTGGGAGCTATTTGAAATAACTGAAAAAAATTTCCGACAGGGAGACACCAGCCTGCCCGCAGCTCAGGGTCAACTCAACCTCCCGCTGCTTGTGCCGAGCTCCCTCAGACCTGCCAAACATCACACAACGCACCTGCAATTTAACAGACGTGGCCACGTAGTACATGAGAGGTTTTTGTGTGCACGCGTGGAAATTTTGAGGGAGATCAGACAAGACTTCTAGAGATAGGAAGGCTCCAGAAAATGAGGTGATCTCACTACATCTGTGGTTCCTTTAGTGTTTTTTGACTCATCATAAACAAAACAGCGTGGCCTGGAAATGACAAATTGCTTGTCATCTATTGATTTTGGCCGGGGCTGATGCCTGTGACTAGCTGAGGTGGAAGATGGGGGTTTATTTACTGAACAACCTCGGGCTAGATGGGACTTGGCTGGTGTCTTCGTGGGAGGAGATCAGAGCCTCCCTGGTGGTCACCTGTGAGTTCTCTGGGTCTTGGGATCTGCCGCAGGTACCCGGGAAGCGGCCTGTGTTTGGTGCCAGCCATATGGCTCATCTCTCCCCCTGCTCCCAAAGGAAGGAGGGATCAGACAAAATTAGTCTTGATGAGAAATGTGATAGTCATGTGTGCGACTGCTACTGCTCACTGCCTCCCGGCAGTGGATCCAGCTGGATTATTGCTATCGGACACTGTCACTCTAAGGCAAGCCTGCCCTGAAGCATGAGGTATGCCTGGGATAGTCCTTCAATGTTTCAGCTCATTGCCTGTCTCATCCTACTCATCTTCTCTGAAAAGTTGTTTATGTGCTGAGAGAGAGAAGTTGAAGGTCTTTTTTTTCTGCACTGCCGTTTGTTTCTGAATGCCTGGGTGCACAACTTTTATTTCCTTGCTAGGAAACCACCAGCATCTTTGAATGCCTAAAAGCTTCTGAAAATCTTGCTCTTGGTTTTTAAAAGAAGTGTATAGATCCTAAATATTGGACAGGTCCTCCAGAGCTTATGAACCCCAGAAGGAGATTTTCCCAGCAGTGAAAATCCAGGACTTAAGGAAAATACCAGAGTGAGGAGGAGAAAAATCTGCGCTGAAGATGCAGCCAAAGTGTAAGACTTCCCACACCCTTCACCCAAATCCAGGCAATTTAGGGATCATCTCCAAACACATTCATGTAATGTGATCTGATATGCTTTCAAAGGTGTCTGTCAGCGGAGCAGTAAGCTGGCTTTTGAATGGGATTTTCCTGGGTTTCTGTCAGAAAGCAATGGGAACGTGTCTGTGTATTTATGGCAGGTAAATCAGTGCATGCATCTACCTCTAGAGAAGCCAAAGGCTTGGAGAAAGCAAAGTTGTACCTTAACTGTTTGAATGTCTGAAGGAAGATGGAGAAGAAGCCTTCATAATGTGTGATGTGTCATTTTGCACCAGTCATTCAGATTAAGACACAACAAACATTTTGCTTTACCTAGGTAGGGCAAGCCACTCAAGGGTGAAGGAACATTATCCTAAACCACAGTGTTCAGCTGCTTGTGTATGAACGCATGTGGCTGGCTCTGCGGGTGAGAGAGAGTCCCTGAAAAACCACATTTTTACGGGCAAAGCTCAAGTGAAAACATTTCTCAATAATCTCTTTGGTAGAGCTGTTCTCCTGAGAAAACTAGAAAGGACCTTCCTCTGGCTATTTGCATTTGTCAGTAGAAACTGAAGACAAAACAAAATGTACCAGCA